TCCAGCTGTGTTTGTAGCAAATAAACCTGGTATTTTTAACAAGAGGTTGGGACATTTCCAGCTGTGTTTGTAGCAACTAAACCTGGTATTTTTAACAAAAGGTTGGGACATTTCCAGCTGTATTTTTGGCAACAAAGTGGGTATTTTTTAACAAAAGGTTGGGACATTTCGAGCTGTGTTTTAGCAATAAAGTGGCTATTTTTCAACAAGAGTTTGGGACATTTCCAGCATGTTTGTGGCAACTAAAGCATGTATTTTTTAATGAGAGGTCATGACATTAAAAGGTGTTTCTGTGGCAACTAAACCAGGTATTTTCCAGGACATTTCCAGCCATGTCTGTAGTGACTAAACCCGGCATATTTTAATAATGAGTTGGGACATTTACAGCTGTGTGTGTAGTGACCAGAGTGGGCATTTTCAACCAAAACATCATTTAATTTTCCTAGCCTTAACCAAGTTTTTTTGTGCTGAAACCTAACCACATGTTAACCACAGTGTTGTCCCAACATAAAATTGAAACCTTTTAAGTTTCAACATAGCTGCAAATATGAAATGCACAAATTTAATCTATCTGTGGTTTGCAACAAATGTAGAATTTCAATATTTACTCTGCTGATTGGGTCGTTGAAGTACAAGTACCTCAAAAATGTACCTAAGTACATAACTTGAATAAATGTTCTTAGGTACATTCCTATATTAAAAGTAAAAGTAACGAATAGTTACATATAAGTTTAAAAAGAGTAGATGATAACTCATCTCATCCATCCTCACAAATACGCTTCTTTGATTTGAATCCCAAATTCCTCACTGCATAGAAATGCTAATAATTTGCATATTAAACATTAGTCAGCCATTTCCTCCCTTCCCCTTCCTCCTTCACATGTCAGTGTGTAATATAGTGTATGATGAAGTGTGTGTGGGAATGCATGCATGTGTTTGTACGTTCACGGCATCAGATGTGGTATAATTAGATGACTTTACAGCCAAAAACATCAGAAAACAGGCACAGATTTGCAGACATGAATTTTCATTGCTGTCTGATGCATCGTTGCATATGAGCTGGCATCTTATGTTATCTCCCCCAACTCCAAGTGTCTTCCACGAAAATGTTGAAACCATTTGATTACAGCAACACTGACTTTCATAAGAAGGTTAAAAAAGTGCATTACAACCAAAATCGTTCTCTATCTTTGATTCAAGAATTATTTAATGTTTAATTCTTCATCCATAAGGACTCATTCTTAAGTAAAGGAAGTCAGTGGGGTTTAATATGGTGATAGTTTTCTTTGAAAGAGAAGGATGTTTTGGAGTTTAACTCACTTATTTCATTAACCCTTCATGAACAGCCTTGACGGGTTCTTTTGGTCTGGAGCCTTGCTGATGTATGCGAGTGTGCGCCTGTCACATTCACACACCAAAAACAAAGCCCTGTTCCTGGACTCAACTTCTGGGTCACAAGTGCTTTAAAATGAAGTGAGTCCTTGAGGCATGGAACGAGATTCTCTCGTGCTCTCTCCAGGCTGTCCCTGCATATGGGAAGAAGTGTGTGAGTGTGTGTTAAAACAGCTTGTTAACACATACACCACTGCCTTGGCCGGGACTCCCTAATTATTCCCCTTCCAATGAAAGGCCAAGAAAAGGAGAGAGGAGTGATAAACACACTCTTAGCATGTCTCTCTTTTGCTTCAGTGTGTGTGTGTGTGGTTGTGTGATGCGGAGCAGCTGTGACAGTAAACATGTTTATGAAACACCTGCTAATAGAAAGCAGGTGTTGATTGGCTGTGACCCTCCGAGCAATCAGAGTATATTCAGAGACTGATGCAGATGCTACTGTCTGCACTGATGAGACACGTACACACACACTAACACACACACACTCCTCACATTGTTTACAGGTACTGTACTAGATGAGATAAAGAGATGCTTTGTGTTGATGCACGCAGTCATTTATTATCGTAATACACCCAGCCCTGAGATAGCAGTGGTGTTTTTGAGCCACAGTTTTCTGTTGCCTTTGCATAACCACAGAGTTGCAGTGGTATGCTTGTTTGTGTGTGTGTGAGTGTGTGTGTGTGTGTGTGTGTGTGTGTGTGTATGTTTGTTTATGTGAGTGTGTGTATGCAGCCTTCCCACTTTGTCTTTATTTGTAAACATGCACACTCGTATGTGTACCAAAGTGGGTGTGGGCGAATATGAGCGTGTTTGTGAATGTTTGGATAATTTGGTCTCTGCTCTGCTTTCCCACTCTGGGTCTGTTTATTTGTGTGTGTGTGTGTGTGTGTGTGTGTGTGTGTGTGTGGGTTTGAGGCCTCTCTTTGCCTCTCAAGGCATTGTGGGGTTGATTTTTTTGTGGGGGGTTGTTTGTAAACATCAACAGCAGTAAGTTGTATTTTATTGTGGATTTATTTTTACGACATTATTCCCAGATGGCTGCTAAAGCTCGCAGTTCTTTAATGCGTCTACCACGCATTCTGCGCTCCCCTCGCCTCACGCTCACAGCCACACATGTGCTTTTGCTCTCGTACGCAAACAAACAACAGAGTCTGCGTGGCTGATTCGTTCAGGAATGAGCAGCGGAGATGAATTTTCTCCCACGTATGCACACAGGCCAGAATCAGCTCTTTTTTTAAAATTTTAATCAATCCAAAATCCTGCGTTTAAAGCATCAGATTGAGTTATTCAAGTTAGTAGCAGCAGCTTTTTTCCCTTCTTTTTTCCAGCTCTGTGACACTGTGGGTGAGCTCTCCCATATTTCTCTTTAATTAAGCCAGGGAAAACCTTGTAGTACAGCCAACCCAGCTCATGTAGCCACTTATGTTTTAATTTAATTACCTGTCCACTTTGATAATTATTCCCCCTGATTAACAGGGAGAGAAGGGTTCCTAAATGGGAATAGGAGATGGGTGAGAGGGCCAAACAGCGCTTTTTTTCTCCTTTCACCAGGAACAAGAATGAAGGTGTTGACTTAAGATGTCCAAGCCAGCTCTTATTTTGCTCTGGTTTCATACTTGGCCTGCTTCAGCCCAGCCTGGCTCGGCTTTCTTCGGGGCCGTGCAGAACACAGAGTCATGCTGAGCTTCCTGTGCTCCATTTAATCTTGTTATTTTATGCAACCATGAGCCAAAAACAGACAAACAACAAATTCTCCAAACAGGCGGGGGTGATTGATATCTTTAGTCAAAATGTCAACAGTTACACAACAATAAGCTCATGGATGATTCAGTCTCTTTGCTCGCTATGGAGCTTCTCTGCAGCCATAGGAGTCAGGTTGTTTGTCGCTGTAAGGATTTTAAGTTACCACACGCACAGCCGCTGGGGTTCGGTTATAAACTTTCCTTTAATAATACTGTCTCATTTTGTCGATCAAACTTGAAAGTGCACCTTCATGATAACAGCCCACTTAAAAAAGCATCACTCATCACCATCCAGTTGCTCACATTAGCACCTGCCACTTCTCAGGAGATTTATTGGAGATATATAACAAAGTGTTCCGGGCAAAAAAATTTGTCAGGCCCTGAGGAGAGGTGAGTAAGTAAAAAAAATATATGGGTGCTCACACACACACGCACACACAAACACACAACACTTGCACACATACACACACATATTTTTTTAGTGGTATTGATCGTGCTAAATGAACGTGTTGTGATTTACTGCAGCTGTGGCCCATTGTTGGGTGGTGCTGTGATGGACTGCCATCATTTTCCAATGGTAAAAGCTTAGATAGAGAAAAGGCAGGAGGGCAGAATCCCATTTAATGGCCAAAGCAAAATTATTCCAAGATCTTCTCATGAGTTATGGCGCTCTTTTTTTCTTCACCGCCTCACTTTTTTTCTCTTGCAGCGACAGGTATGATGTAATTTCCAAATTTCATCAGAGACAGTAATCTCAACACTGATTATGCTGTCAATTAGTAAATGAATGTGGTGGTGAGGGGGGGGGGAGGTGGTAATAACTCTGCGAAAGGAGTTGTCAAGCTTCCAAAATACATAAAGGACATAGCGAGGTAGGCAGACAGTAAAATGTGTCCAATCACAATATAACTGTCTATTTGCAAGGTAAGTGTACTACAAGAGTGAACCCACTTAAACTGATTTTACACTTCTTTTTTTTTTTATTTGTGGAATACAGCTTTTCTTACGTTCACGTAAATCTTTTTGGCATAAATCGATATAAAGGCTTCCATGCAGTGTACGAGATGAAAGTTGTATCACAATCAGGTCTGTCAAGGGCAAAAAGATGGAAAAAATAAGTTATTTTAATATATTTTTTAAGAAAAATACCACCCCACATGTAAGGTCTGCCAAGAGTGAAAATGGTAGAAAAAAATAAGACAATAATTCTTTTTTTTTTTTTTTAAATACTGATACCACACATGTGAGGTCTGTCAAAAACAAAAAGGAAAAAAAATGTTTTTTATATTTATTTTAAAAATACCAACACCACACATGTAAGGTCCGTCAAGAGCTAAACAGGTAGAAAAAAAATTGTTATTTATAGTTAGGCTACTAAAAAAAAATACCAATACCACACATGTAAGATCTGTCAAGACCAAAAAGTTTAAAAAAAAGTAAAATATTTTTTAAAAACACGACCAGTATCACCCATGTAAAGTCTGTCCAGAGTAAATATGATAAAAAAAAACATATATATTTACTTAAAAAATAAATAAAATCAAATTTTAAAAAATATATTTAAAAAACAGTACCACACATGTAAGGTCTGTCGTGAGCAAAAAATGTGGAAAAATATAAGTTACTTATATTTATTTTTTAAAAATCTACCAGTGCCACACATGTAAAACTGTTTATGAAAATAAGAAGTGTGGAAAATCAAAGTGTTTAATATTCGGCCAGCACAGTTTGGATGATCCTGCTTTGTTTCGGACTGTTTCTGAGCTCAAACTCTGTGCAGGCTAACATCTGTTCCTCTCTGCCTCTACAATAGCACAACTCAGCCGGGATGCAAAGAGAGGTCAAAAGATCAGTGCCTTCCCCTCACACACACACACACACACACACACACACACACATACACACACACTGAGAGTGAGAGAGAGAGGGAGAGAGGGAGAGATACCTCTCACCGGCTGCTGTTTTCCTATTGTGCGCCAGGGCTCTGCGAGGATAGGGCAAGCGATGAAAACGCGCACCTGCTTTAGAGGCATTACGGTAGCGCAGCAAACTGTCCCCCTCGCAACACACACACTCTCCCACACTCGTACACTCACACAGCCCTAGTGATTCAACCCTGATTTCCAGCGAACGAGCGAGCAACAGACGGGATGCCAAAAAAGTGAGGACCGGTGGAGAGGTCGTTGGCGCTGAATGAGCCTCATGAAGAGATAGCGGGGGGAAACGCAGACGCAACAAAACAAGACGAGAAGCTGCGCGCTTTCTCCGCGGCAACTTGCGCACAGTGCCAGAGTTTTAGCGGCAGTATTGTTCTGACTTCACTCCAGAGGGGCCACTCCGAGGAGAGAGGACGCACACAAAAGGGAAAAAAGGAAAAGGACTAACGAGCACGCTTTGTCGTTTAAAGTAATGGTCCTGCGGTCTTAGATCCTACATTTCTCTGTCTCTCTCTCCCCTCTTGTTTCTTTCCGTTTTTCTTTTTTCGATCTTTTTTTTTTTTTTTTTTTGTAAATCGTCCCGTCGGTTTGTGTCCCCCTTTGTCGCCGCGAGAGAGAGAGTGGACACGCCGGGGGTTTGAGGAGCAGAAGCGGGGCTGTCCACATGGTCCAACCACTGGCGTGAAAGTTGACTTCTTCAGAAAACAAGAGAACAGGTTGATGCATTATCTACACTTTTCCTTCCCCCCCTTGTTCTGTTACCTTCCTCACTCTTTTCCTCGCTTTTCTGTGCTTCCATTGAAACTCTCTGATGCGCACATTAAAGCCAAAAACACATCAACTTTTTCATCGCACATTGTTTGTGAAACTCCTCCAAGTCAGCCTAATAATATCACAGGGTGTTATAGAGTGTTACACAGCTTGGCACACTCGGAGATCACACTTCCCTCCGTGTATGTTTCATTTGAACTTTGCTTTTGTTGAACGCTAAACTTATCAGCCACGTTTTAAAACCTCTCTTTGAAGTTTCCATCTTTTTCAATTTCTATAGACAGAAGTTTCTTTCGATCTCATCGCCACTTTCACACATGTGTCATACCCAAACTGTGCTTTATTTAACCCGACCTTTTATTTTCATGGACAATTTATTATTCCAGCTCCTATAATTTATCAGAGCATACTTTGGTGGAGTGAAAGGACCGGTGCTTTGGAGAAAGTGTCATTGTCCGAAGCCCTCGCTCATGAGGCAACAAAAAAGTTTGACTAAACTAAGATGTCGGATTCTAATGGAGGCAACAAACTTCACTTGGCGTCCCCTCGGTTAATAAGCCTTGTTAAGGGATTTGATAATAAACACCGACGTGGGTTATGTGGTGATAATTTTACACAGCCGTGTGAGCATCGTGTGAATGCTTTGTCATCGCTTTATACCTGTTTAACTCCCAGCCGCTTAACTCTGCCTCCAAGTTTAATACTGTCATTTTGTTTGTGATAAATAAACAATAATGTTTATTAAATTAAAAGACGGAGCCCCTCAGTGGAGATAACAGAGCCCTTGTTTTATCTTTCTTGTGGACATATCAATAGGTCAGGGAACAATACTTTCTTTTCAAAGCATTTTGACTTTTGAAATTGGAACCGCGTTTTGTGACCTCACTGAGTTTTGTTGTATTTTCTATAGCTGCGCACCGGATTAATTAAATAACATAAAGATGGTTTTACGCAGCAGGGCGTGGAGGAAAGCTGTGCAGTGAAACTTTAACTAAGAAAATTAGGGGTTAGATTGTGATAATTCATGCATTATAACTGATGCGTAAAAGCTGTTTTTATATTTCACAAAGCAGACTTATTGCGTGGAATAAAACGCACGTGTTATACTTTTAATTATAAAATATAAAAATATTCCCGCACATTTAAAGATGGCTTTGACGATTTTATATATTTAGAAATTGAGGGGGTTGAAGTCTGCACCAGAACCTCTGCATGACCCATGTTTTTCCTTTCTTTTTGCAGTCATAAACCGCCTGAAAGTAGGCCCACACCACAGAGGAAAATTATCTTTTCCTCCTAGAGCAAAGAAAAAACTTTTCTACCGGGACTATAATTTTTTAAAATAACATATTATAATGAGATTAACAGTTTAAATTTGACTTAATTTTGCGCAATAACACAACAAGTGCTGTGAAAATGAAGTTGCTGCTCCTGGGGGAAAAAAAACATTCATCAAATCAAAGATGAAACATCAGCCACATCATGTCAGATGGACTCAGGTCCCGCGTGATGGAAAGCTGCAGACACACACCAAAAAAAAAAAAAAAAAAGAGGGAGAGATGAAACGACAATTAATTGCTGTTAGTTGTCTGTCATTGAGAGAAAAGCATACAGGCCGTGTGGGTGCACACCCTGACACGGGCATTATTGCCCCGTGATTGATGGGCGCCGGGGCATTTGGCATAATTAATTTTATTTACTGTGTCCCTCTCTCTCCTGTTGTGTCCCCCCCACACCACCACCACCCCTCACTCCATACCCACCCCCCCACACCCCCCTCCTGTCCTCTGTGGTGGCATTTCCGCGACGCGATGACACACTTTTAATTGCACTTTAATAGAAGATCCAGCGGGAATGAAAAAGCTCTTCATCACGTTTTATGACCTTGTCACATTTCTGGTGTCAGACAGGAAAGCAGGTATTTTGTGGCGGCTTGGAGCCTCTGGTGTAAAGCTGATGCAGAATTAGATATTTAAAAAAAAAAAGAAGTTTATTTAATGTAGATGAATTACACATGGAGTTGCATAAAAATCTGCACAGTAATATTTTTAGTGTTCACAGTTTCATGCTGTGCTTTATTTAAAGCTGCAAAATTAGACCAGAATTTTTAAGAATTTGTTAATTTTGAAACAGATAAAAAAAACATTTTTTTTTTTTTTTTTGTTATTGCACATCAGCTCGCCTGAAACAAATCCAGCAATGTGACAATAATTTGACCGCAACCCTTCGTGCATCTCACATGATTCTTTTCTACATGCTAAATTTGCTAAAATGATTTCCCATAAATATGGGACAAAATTGTTCGCACAGTTTTGACTGCTTTTTTAAAAATTCTTGCTGCTACATGTTCGTCAGCTGCTTCATTTCTCCCTGGCACAGTGAAGCCTCAGCAGCTGAGACGTCTCAGTTACCCTAAAAGAATAATGTTTTGAGTTGCAGGTGAGATTTACAAGAAAATGCACATCACTGAACAATATAGTTATTTGTACATTTTTTATTAAAATGGCCTGGCTGATAACCACTCGCAAACCTTGAAAATAAAACCCACAGTGGAGCTGAGGGAGAACAGTGAGACGCTGCTAAAAGATAGAGGATCTTTTTTGTTATTTCTTTTTCTTTTTAAACACTGCAGCATTTAGCAGCAGTATAAACCCACTGTAAAGTTCTCCTTTCTATGATGTGCTTTGCTCATTGATCACACCAGTGGCAGGCTTTTCATGGAAATATAATAGGAGACAATGATACAAAAGAGTATTTGAGAGGCAGAAGTAGTTATTTGGGTAAAAAAGAGTGTACGTGTGCAGGAAACCAGAGGTGTCAGAGACAGATTGACTCTTTCTGCTCTCTGTCGGCTATTGTGCGTCCGTGTCTGCGTGTTTGCCTCAGCATTGCCACCTTTTTTCATCTGACTTGCCTCAACACTTTTCCCTCTTTGCTTTTTTTCCCCCCTCTCCTCTTGACAGCTGTGTCTTTTCCATGTCCTGTTTTGTTTCATTGTTTGTAAGAGTCGCTCACATGCTGCTGATTTTTACCACTTTCAGACTCTGTTCTCCACCAGACAATTGTTTCTGTTATGCTTACTGACACATTACTTAAATGATGATTTTTCAGCCTCGGTCCTGTGTGTGTGACTGAGTGCCAGTGTGTGACTCCAGCACATGTGTGAGACCGTCTAGAGACGGGCAATAATGGCTATGAATCTCATGCGCTTGAAAACCCCTTCAAGCAGGATTAAAAGCCAGCAACATGATTGTGTTAGTCCATAAACTCACTCAGAGAGTCCTTACCTCCAGCACGAGCGCGTGCGGATGTATGTGTGGAAGAGTGTATATATCTGAGTGCGGGAGTGTGTGTGTGCACAAGAGTGCTTTTTTCTCAATTCACCTGTCCTGCTTGAGTGAAAATGGACAGTATTTGAAGTTTTAAATGTCCTGTGCGTCGGTAGCGTTGATGGCTAGCCTGTCCGTCTCTCCATCTCTCGCGCTCTCCTCATTAAAGCCCTCCTGCTATCCCAAGCCCACAAGTCTGAGTGGGCTTTTGGCTCCAAAGTGATGTTGAAGAGCACCCATATACGACTCTGCTATACATGTAGGATTTGACCCGTGATAGATACTCGCAGGTTTACTTCTATTGCAGCACTTAGTGCATTACCTGCTCAAAAAGCTGAAATGGTTAAATTTTCAATATCCTTTAGATGGGGTTTGAGGAAAGCAAAAATGTTGCCGTGCAGGGAGCGAAAGCATAAATGGAATTATTTCAAGTGTTGGTCCTGAAGCTGCTGTTATTGCATGGTGTGTGTGCGCATTTGAGCTGAACATGTTTTGGGGCTTTTAAATGTGGAAACAGTGTAGGGTAAGATTTTATACAGGCTGCAACAATTATGTGTTAAAATAAAACATACTTTAATTTAGTATCTCTCTGAATTTTATAGCTAAAAAATGTCCTTTTCATGTGCTGCAAAAAGATTTAAAAAAAGAAAACGTCTCCATATGTAACCACTGAGTAGCATTACATTAGCAATTACGACTTGTTACGTATTTAAAAATATGTTAATGAAATATAATTGACAAATTAATGGATTAAATGAAGGTGTTATTCTTCATGGGCAGCCAGTATGTAGGGGGGGAGTGTTCTGGTTGTGTATTGAAGTGATTGACTGCACAGTGAAAGTGCCGCCACATTGCTGTAGACTGAGGCCTGATTATACATGTGGTTCTAATTGAACCTGCTATTTAGGAGAAGTTGAGGGCTGAATACGTGTGTGTGTGTGTGTGTGTTTGTCTGTCAGTGTGCGTATATAATAAATCCCACGCATTTTTCAAAGATGAGACGTGTTTTTCGTGACGGGTCAGAAGGCGGCGGCGTGCAGGAAAGTTGCAGGATGGCGGAGGAAAGCAAGAAGATGCCTTTAGGAAGCTGACCACCTGTGAGAGAGAGTGTTGTCCTTTGTTGCCTTTTCTTTTGCCTTTTGTGCCTTTTGAAAGAGCTGTCATCGCGTCTGTGGTGACAGCGGCGGTGCTCGCAGTCCCAACTTCATTCCTTCAAATGTACGCACTTTTCTCCCTCTGATTGATAAGGTAATCATTTCACTTGACACAGTGGTTTAGCCTGTGGTCATTAACATGTCCATGCGTTTCAGATGAGCTTTTCTGATGTGTGTGTGGGGTGGCTGGGAGGCAGGCTGGCCGGCCCAGAGATGTTGCTCCAGCTCCACAGAGCACTGGCCCATTAACAGCTGATGGATGTGGGAAGGAGTGACCCAACAGCTCAGAGCGGAAGAGACTGTTTCCTATGGGCACGGGGGGGGGGGGGGGGGGGGGGGGGGGGGGGGGGGGGGGGGGGAGGGGGGGGGGGAAGGGAAGCAAGAGAGGGACGGACAGAAAGATGCAGCATATGAGTGAAAGGCTGGTTGAAAAAGAGGGAAACGACAGTGCGAGTGGTTTTT